AATATTTATTAATTTTTTTTTTTTTTTTTTTTTTGGACGTTCTTGACATTTTTTTAAAGGGATTCTTCTACTGTATATGGTCTTTGTAAATGCAGATGATAAAAAGATGTGAAGTTAATTAAAGCCTTGTGGGAAGACATTAGATGCTGTTTAGTGGATTTATGTTGCTTTCTAGCAACTAGTTTTATATTTTCGTCTCACAGTAGATTTTCCAGGAACTCCTGCACTGAATTGAATGCATTTTCTTGTTGAAGTTCACCTGATCATTCAACATCCACTGATTCACGGTTTATTTGTGATCTGTCTGAGCTCCAGATTCGTCTCTTAAAACGATGAAACTCACCTGTTACGAGTAATTCTGGGCGCTTGTTTTGTGTTCAGTTAAATCTGCTCACATCTGGTGATGATTTCTCAGCACTTCACATTTTTTCTGTTCTCGAGACTTTAATTAAAGTCACATGCAGTGATGAGATGTTCTCAAACAATGCTGAGCAGTGCTGCACTATTACACACACTCGCGCACACACACACACTCACTCACTCACTCACTCACGCACACACACACACACACACACACTCACACACACACTCACACACTCTCTCACACTCACTCACTCTCACACTCACACTCTCTCACACTCACTCTGACTCACACACTCACACACACACTCTCACACACTCTCACACTCACTCACTCTCTCACACTCTCTCACACTCTCTCACACTCACTCACACACATACACTCTCACACTCTCTCACACTCACTCACTCTCACACACTCACACTCTCTCACACTCACACACTCTCTCACACTCTCTCACACTCTCTCACACTCACTCTCTCACACTCACTCTCTCACACACTCACTCTCTCTCACACACTCACACTCACACACACTCACGCACTCTCTCACACACACTCAGTTTGAATAAATAATATACAAATATCTTAATAAATAAATTTAAACAAAAAAAGCAAATGTTTAAGAAAAATGTAAAAAGCAAAAATGTGAGTAATATTTTGAATATTTTAATGTAAAAATTAAATTAATAATCAAAATAAGTGAAAAAATTATTTCAATTAATAGTAAAATAAATGACAAAATAAACACACACACACACACACACACACACACACATATATATATATACAATTAAAATAAATAAATGTAATAAAAATAAGTTGAATAAAAATATATGAGATCAAATATGTGTTGAAGGGATCGCAGCACAATGATTGTTTTATATTGAGAATCTTGTTTTCGTAATCATTGGAAGCCAAAGGTTCAGTTGAAGATAAAGCAGGATTATTAATCCAGCACTAAGCACCAGCTCGAGTGTTTGAGGTCTGGAGCTGCGTTTGCTAAAACCGTTCATTCGTCTCTCTCTCAGTTCGTGCTCCTGACCTACATCCTGGGAATCGCCTGGCTCGGGGTTTTCGGCTTCTCAGCGGTTCCTGTGTTCCTTTTCTACAACGTGAGGTCGACCTGCGCTGCCATGCGCTCACCGATGGCCAACCTGACCTCCGTCGACAGCATCTGCGTGGATGTGCGGCAGTACGGTACGAGTCTCTGAGCCTAATATCTCTTAATGCATTCATGCTTTTATCCAATGCATATGTGACCCTGGAGCACAAAAGCAGTCGCTGGGGTATATTTATAACAACAGCCAACAATACATTGTATGGGTCAAAATTACAGATTTTTCTTTTATGCCAAAAATCATTAGGATATTAAGTAAAGATCATGTTCCATGAAGATATTTTGTAAATTTCCTACTGTAAATATATCAAAACTTAATTTTTGATTAGTGATATGCATTGCTAAGAACTTCATTTGAACAACTTTAAATATGATTTTCTCAATATTTTTGATTTTTTTGCACCCTCAGATTCCAGATTTTCAAATAGCTGTATCTCGGCCAAATATTGTCCTATCATAACAAACCATACATCAATGGAAAGATTATTTATGACTGGTTTTGTGCTCCAGGGTCACGTATATAAGGTTTACGTCTGATCTATTCATGCATTCCCTGCAAACGCAGTCTTGATAAGCATGTTGAGTTGTGTGATTGTTAACTTTGTTTGTATCTCCATGCAGGCATTATTCCGTGGAACGCAACACCGGGCAAAGCTTGCGGCTCAACGCTAGCTGATATCTGCAACACCAGCGAAGTAAACACATCTGTCACACTCTAGTTTATTTACCTTGTCGTACAGCATAATGAATTATCTTTTTATTCTTTTAATTCTAATTATATTCTTTTTAATCTAATTTATTAAATAATTATTTAATAATGTATTATTTTATTTTTTATAAATGTCTTTTACTATAAATTTTATTTGTAATGTAGTGTTTATTTAAAGTTTATTATTTCTTTATTTAATATTTATTTTAGTTCATTCTTTTTAGTTTAATTTATTAAATAAATATTTCGTAATTTATCTTTAATTTTTCTAGCTTTTTAGTATACATTTGTAATGTAATGTTTATTTTAATTTGATTATCTCTTTATTTAATATTATTTAATTTGAGTAAATAATTTTAGTTTAAATGATTAAATATTTATTAAATAATTAATAATTTAACTTTTTTTTTTTTACAAATATATTGCTTTTCACTATACATTAGATTTGTAATGTACTGTTTATTTTAATTTTATTATTTATTTAATATTATGTTATTTTAGTAAATAATTTGTTTAATGTATTAAATAATTATTTTATAATTTATTTTATTTTTTTAACAGTGGCTTACTTTTCACTATAAATTTGATTTGTAATGTAAGGTTTATTTTAATTTAATTATTTATTTAATATTATGTAATTTTAGTAAATACTTTTAGTTTAATTTATTAATTATTTAATAAATTATTTTATTTTTTTAACAGTGGCTTGCTTTTCACTATAAATTTGATTTGTAATGTAATGTTTATTATTTATTTATTTAATATGA